AAAAATCAGTTTTGTAACTCGGGTCTTGATTTGCAGTGTTGCACACGGTAAAAAAGGTGGAATTAGAAAGAAGCATACTTCTAATACACTAAAGCCTATATGCAGTGCTGTGTAAAACACTAAAACAGTCATATATGGTCGATTACCTGAAACAACATCAAGGCAACAGTAGTGCAGAATATTTCGCTGAATCACATGTGAGAATTCAGTAATGCTTTAGCAATGTCAAAGTAAATTAGAAAGAAGCATGCTCCACAACCAGCAGCTTTAGCAATGTCAAAGTAAATTTAATCCATCAATAAACTTAGAAACAACTGTGCTTTAGCACAGTGGAGACAGCTTAGTACCTTTCATCTCTGGCAATATCCTGTGCTGCAATCATGATTGCATATGGGATTATGCATCACAAACCATGTAAGCCTATGACAAGATCAGACAAGACATGAATAGGTCAGAACTAAGGAAGAAAAAACAACAAGATATCATAGTACTAAAACACTAGGAACAATTAGGAAATTCTCAAGCAGCACGGAAGCAAAGCAGCAAAGCACGAATTAAATTACTCGATGATTATACAGCTAACAGAAGCTCTAATAAAAAAAAGGCACGCCAACACCACGACCGCACCACCAGCACCGCCGCCGCCGCCATCCATGCCCGCACCACCATCACCACCGCCACCATCCATGCCGCATCCGCATCCGCCACCACACCCCCGCCACCGTGCCACCGCTCTCGGCCAGGGGGCTGCAGCTCGCCCCTGGCCCGCGTAGCCATCCCCTCCGCCGCCTGGGGTGCGCCACCACCGGGCCCCCTCCATGGATCTCGCCGTTGGGGGAGGGAGGGAGGGAGGGGGCGGCACCGGCCACCGGATCTCGCCGGTGGGGAGCGGGAGGGGAGGGGCCGTGGCGGGGAAGAAGATAGGGGGAGGAGGGAGAGGGAAGGGGCGGCACCGGCTGCGTCGAATCTCACCGGTGGGGAGCGAGAGGAGGGGCCGCACCAAGAAGAAGGTAGGGAGGGGGAGAGGGAGGGGGCGGCACCGGCCGCCGGATCTCGCCGATGGGGAGCGGGAGGGGAGGGGCCACGCCGGGGAAGAAGGTAGGGGAGGGGGGAGAGGAGGGGTGGCACCGGCCGCGCCGGATCTCGCCCGGTGGGGAGCGGGGGAGGGAGGGCTGCGCCCAGAATGGGAAGCGGGAGGGAGGGGCAGCAGCCAGGAAGAAGGTATGGGAGGAGGGAGAGGAGGGGGTGGCACGGCCGCGCATCTCTCACCATTAGGGAGCGGGAGGGGGGCCACCGAGGAAGAAGGTAGGGGAGGGGGAGAGGAGGGGGTGGCACCGGCACCAATCTTGCCGGGTGGCGAGCGGGAGGAGGGGCCGCGCCGGGAAGAAGGTAGGGAGGGGAGAGAGGGAGGCGGCACCGGCCGCCGGATCTCGCCGGTGGGGAGTAGGAGGGAGGGGCCACCGGGAACAAGGTATGCAGGGGGGGAGAGGGAGGGCGGCACCAGCCGTCGGATCTCGCCGATGGGGAGCGGGAGGGGAGGGGCCGCGCCGGGGAATGCAGGCCTCGCCGGATCTCGGGAAGAAGGTAGGGAAGGCGGGGGAGAGGGAGGGGCCGGCACCGGCCGCGCCGAGGAAGTAGGGGAGGGAGGGGAGGGGCGGGATCCGGAGGAGGATGGGTGGGCGCGGGTGCGGGAGAAGGGGAGGGAGGGGAGCGTGCGTGCGAGGGTGTTTGGGGGCGGTGGCTGGCGGGTGAGGGTTAGGACTTCTTGGTTTTTTTCTGTGCGTGTGTTTGTTTTTTCTGTGCATTTTAAAATAACCGACAGAATAATAACATTTTTTTTCTGTGCGTGCATATATTTTTTCTGTGCGTTTTTAAAGAACCGATAGAATAAGTTTCATTTTGTTATGAGTGCTGATTTTTTCCATGTGTGTATTGTCACGCACAGAAAAATCATACAATTATTCTGTGGGTTTTCGTATTTTTCTATCGGGATATTTTGAAACCGACAGAAAAATCATAATTTTTCTGTGAGTGCTGATTTTTTCCGTGTGTGTATTGTCACGCACAGAAAAATCATACAATTATTCTGTGGGTTTTCGTATTTTTCTGTCGAGATATTTTGAAACCGACAGAAAAATCATAAATTTTCTGTGCGTACCAAAAAACGCACAGAAAAATTCGTCACCCACAGAACAATTCGAGTTTCCAGTAGTGGAGGGGCCCATCCGGCTCCCTAGGCTTGGGACGGTTGTCCCTCTCGCCCCGCCCCAGGGCCGGGCCTGGAAGTAGGGATCCATATGGTGGAGAGATGCACTTAATAAACTCTTATGCCAGATGGATCCTTAGTTTGTGCCCGCCATGGCAAGGGCGAGAGGGACAAAAGCCGCCCCAAGCCTAGGGAGCCGGATGGGCCCCTCCCTAGGTACGCAGACACTAGTAGTATTCGGCGTATGTGAGCCTAGTAACAAACATACGTACGTAGAGTCGCAGACGCAGGCACGCCGCAGCAGCGGCTCCTCGGTCCTCATTACGACGCGAGACGCTTTGAGCCTTCGACTGCAAGTCACGGAGTCGGTGAATGTTGAATCTCTTTCCTCTGCATACGACTGTGACTCTACCGCTCTGCGAGTCGCCAGCAGGCAGCGGGTAGCTAGGTAGGCTGCAGGCAGGCACGGCCGCACGTGAACGAGTGAGACTGAACGTGAATACGTGATCCCCATTGGTACGAATCTCTGATTCTCTGTCCTATCTCCTATACGATCCCTAATTCCCTACTCCCTCCGTCCCTAAATATCTGTCGTTTTTGCTTTCCGAGAAATGACTCTGATTAAATTTATATAAAAAAGATATTAATATTTATGATACATAATTGATATCATTAGATAGATCTTTTAATCTAGTTTTTAAGAAATTTATTTGGAGATACAAATGTTGCACACATTTTCTATAAATCTAGTCAAACTTATTGCACGAAAACCAAAAACGACAGATAATAAGGGATAGAGGGAGTATTCCCTAACCATGTACTGCCGACCGCTAAGGTAAAGGTTAATCATTGATTCAGATTTCACAGACCTGGACAGACATCATTTGGAATTTCAGATTTGCAAATTGTTTAATCTTTGACTAATTGTTTCTCTAAATTTTAATGGTACCATGTCATCAAGAAAGTATGCTTCTCACAATGACAAAAGAAAGAAGAAAACACAAATATATGTTTTGATACAATAACAGAGAGGGGCTCTTCATAAATTTCTTAACAGCTGAGTTGAGATATGGAGGAACCAGCTAACGCTAATCCAGAAGATCCAAAGGTTAAATGGATTGGCAACATTAATCATTGAGAAGCGTGATCGTTGGAGATTGATATTGACACCATCATCGAGGTCTTCGCATCGAGGAATGTTAGAAGAAAATTTTGAGGTAATTCAATATGTATACAAATTATTTCATATAAATATTGCTTTTGCATTCAGTTAACTGCTTATTAGTAACATTTTGTATATTTGTGTATATATACTAGCCATGAATAGTACTAGTATTATCATGTTTATATAAAAAGGCCCAAAATTTTAGTTTCGTTCTAGGTCCAACAAATCTCAGGACTGGCACTGCTAAGACTACAAGAACAAAGAGTACTAATTATTACACGCCCAAAGCAGTTGATACAACACACAGACCGTTTACAAACTGCACACAGAACCATCTAACGGGCTGTTCGGATGATGGTTTCTGCGGCTGATAAGCCGGCCGATGCTGTTTTGATGTGAGAGAAAAATATTGTACCATGGCTGATAAGCTGGGCTGATAAGTTCAAGCGAACATGGCGTAAATTAGGGAGCCAGATTGGGTGACTTTACAGAGCAAAGTTACATTGTAACTTTTCTGCGATCTCCACCCTCCATTCCGTATCCAACGACTCAGCACGCATTCAAAGCAAAAGCCTACAACGCTTAGCATTTTTCGCCCACTCCGGCAGTAGTCTGCGGCAGGTCCATGCCGGAGCTCCGGCGGCACGCAGCAGGCCCGGCCACTGGAACCCGTAGCCGAGGCCATAGTCAACGATATGTAGGTGGCACCCATCGGTGTCGTGGATGGTCCTATTGGAGAAGACGAGGTCGCAAAGCTCGAAGAGGGAATCGACGGTGCGAGACTCTGAGCTCGTTGTGGATCATGGACGGGGTGAGGCGGTGGCGCTTGGGGGTGCCTGCGGGCTGCTGCAGCTGTGGCCATGGGCGAGCTTTGATGTGCGTGGACCTCCGGGCTCCGGCCGCGGGGCGCGCGAGCTCTGCAGCACGCGGGCTCCTCCGAGTGCGAGCGCTAGCCGCCGGCACGAGCTGTGCAACGCACGGGCTTTTCTGGGAGCGAGCACCGGCCGTGCGGGGACGTAGCCGCCGGGCACGAGCTTCACAGCGGGGGGGCGCACAGATGCATGACGCAGCCGCCGGGCGCAGAGCTCTGCTAGTCTGCCACTGGACAGTGAAGGATGTAATCTTAGCTGTGGTGTTAGTTTGGTCAGTTTGAGTATTTAGTTTCAGGTATTTCAGTTTAGTCTGTTATCATGTCAGCCAACGTCGTGTAATCGTGTCTTGTGCTCGAGTCGAGTCCTATACCTATAGTCTTCAGGATATAGTGGAGTCAAGTGCTCATGTTAGTGGACTCTGACGGCGGCGGCAGGTCCCTTGTTCTTCAGGCGATCGCGCAAGAGGATCTGCGCAGGCAGAAGATGGCCAGGTATATGGTTTCTGGCTTCTGCAAGTTGCCCAGCACGCACCAGTAATTAGATTGTTAGGTGACAGGGAATAATGGATGAGATGACCGCTTGAATGAACACGCTATGTGACTGACGACCTCGGACCCATATATTGACCGATCCATCCTATAACAGTCCTCTAACACACTGGAACTGATCCTGCCATTCTACCTACCATACCATGGCTTCCAATAGAACCACTCACAGGAAGCTGAACATAGGGACATTATTATCCATCGTTGCCACCATGCTGGATCGCCGAGCTGCCATGCTCGTGTTGTTCAGCTGCTTCTTGTTCCTCACCACGCATGCACAGCAGCAGCCCCAGCCAGCCGCTAGTGGCAACAGAAAGAGTCCGAGCTGCATACCGCACGAGAGGGACGCCCTGCTGGCATTCAAGCAAGGTGTCACCTGGGACCCTGCAGGCCGCCTCAACTCGTGGCAGCGAGACGGTGATCACGGCGAGCATGACTGCTGCCGGTGGAGAGGCGTCAGGTGCAGCAACCGAACTGGCCGATCAATCAGATTTGGTCGGCCAGGTAAGTCCTTCTTTGCTTGCAATGCTCTGGATCATCTAGAGCATCTTGACCTCAGCGAGAACGAACTAGAGGGGCCAACTGGTCATATTCCTAAGTTCTTGGGCTCTCTCAAGTATGTCAACCTCTCTGGCATACTACTCTCAAGAGCTTCAACTAAATTTAGCCAACGCATGCATGAATCAAAGTGTATGCAGAAGTTGTTACATAATGTTGCTGGTTTTCTTTTTGAATGAAATGTGATATCCACACCCTTTGCCGTAAGAGTTGTAATATCACTACCTTATGATGACATGGCCAAATTAAATACTAATAATAATTCGGGATTGTGCTTATGTTGATCACAGCGTCCCTGTTTTGGTGTCGGAATCTGCCTAATTGCTTACTCGTGTTGTGGTGCTATGTTTCCATGTTCGTCATCCACATCAAGGAAGGCTCACGTCTCCTCCATGACCATTGTTTCCATGCTCGTCGTCAACCGTTAATTGCTGAAGTGAGAAAGAGGTGACTGCACTTATGTTCAGTGTAGAATTAGCACACAACTTACAGACACACATAATATCCACTTAGTTTGGTGTCATTGTGTACAAACCACTTCTTACCAATAATGTGACCAACATGCCAAATCTTGGAGGGAGACATCTCAAGAATTTATGAGAGAAGTCCTTGTCCTTCACCTCCTCACCAAGCTCCTTTAGATCATTTACCAACACTTGGAGCCTATCAAACATCTCCGGTACATTCTCATCTTCCTTCATCTTGAGGCTAGCAGACTTCTCTTCGAGGATATAAGCTTTGGCGCCCATGACGGCTTATGTGCCCTCATATGACTCTTCTAGCTTTACCCAAGCATCATGAGCCATCTCCATGTTTTTGATTTGCTCAAATACCCTTTGGTTGATAGCATCATGAATGACACAAAGAGCAATGTCATTGTTTTGCAACTTTTCTTCTTCGGCGGCGGTGGGAGCATTCGGATTAGCAACCTCAAACTTGGTCTCTACCACTTGTCATATCTTTCTATTGATTGACTTGATATGTGTTGTCATTTTTACCTTCCAATAGCTATAATTGGTGCCATCAAATTGGGGTGGCCTTCTGGTGTTGTTGATTTGAGCCGTTTGAATGTTTGGACGCCACGTGACCTAGCCGTTTGAATGTTACCGTTGGCGCGCAACGCCTCCTTTGCGCATGCTCACTGCACTTGCACCGGACGTGTTCGGTCAACTGACCGGATTCGCAACGCCTTAGCCTCCGGTCCAACTCAGAGAGGTTCCAAAAATGATTTTTGCTGACCGTACGAGTCCGGTCAGCTTGACAAGACACGCCACAGCGTCTGGTCGCCGTTGCACTGCTCTGCCTATAGAGGAACCGAGGCAGCGTCGCGTCCGGTCGCGCCCGAGGGCCAGCGTCCGGTCGCCACTATGCTGCTGCCCTTCTCCTAGGGTTTGACAACGGACGTGTCCGGTCCCATGGGGACCAGCGTCCGGTCACAGCAGTGACCCCTTCTCTTATCTCCAACTGTTAGGGGTACGACCCTGGATACCCATGGTAGACCACATAGGCTGCGCCCCCAGGGGTGGCCCAGCCAACAAGATGAAGCCTTGCGGGGCACGGCGCTGCTCGGCTCATCCCACAAGGCACCAGGAAGATATGCTGAAGATATTACAAGATCTATTAGGATACGTATAATCCCATGATTCCTGTAATCTGTTATTACTTTCCAGTTATCTCCTAGATCTAACCAACTTGTAACCCTGCCCCTATACTATATAAGGCGGGTAGGGACCCCCTCCAAACGCACGCAATATCATACGATATCCAATACAATCCAACAGACCACCGGAGTAGGGTACTACATCGCGTTGACGGCCCGAACCTGTCTAACTCATGTGTCTCTGTTGTCTTCTTGTTCTCGACTACACACATCTCTGCCGATCAATCTACCTTCATGGGATACCCCTTGGAGCACTGCCGATGATATTCTGTCAACAGTTGGCGCGCCAGGTAGGGGTGTGCGCGCTGTTTCCATGTCGAAAAAGATGGTACGTTTTGCAGGCTCTTCATCCCTCACACAGCCCGGCCAGATCTTCATGGTCAGATCGATCTCCTGGATCATCAACGCTAAAAGAGTTAGAGAGCTCATCGAGCCGGTGCAGATCAATGTTGCGCCAATCACCCTAACACCTGCGACTGTAGATCTGATCTCAGAACCACCTCCGAGGTCACCTTCGCCGACAATTCGCCGCCCGCTCCCCCGCTACCCGAGGAGGCAGATCAACAATGATGCTCTAATCTCATCCATCGATTAGGTTGGCCAGAAGCTCGCCGATTGCCTCTCCATTGCAGAATCGGCTCTGACCACTCTGGTCCAGCGCCGACCACTCTCCGACCACTCTGGATCAGGAAACTCCAGGGGTTATGGCCCCATCCTTTGGGCTCACTAGCGTCGCCACCACCTATCAAGATGCCCTAAGGGGCAAATTTGCTGACTAGGTTGGAGATATCCATCCCCTCATCGACCAGATCGTCGACCAGCTCCCGCCGACTGTCAACATGCTCCACGTCGGCCGACGCCCCGGAGCATCCCTCCAAACCATCCTGGAGGAGAATCCAGACTATGAGTCACAGGGCTCTACGGAGACTGTTGCCAAAACCTTCACCGAACAACCTCCTTTCCCTCCCTTCCGTGGAGGCGCAATCTTCAACGTCAGCGTCGACAGCCCCCCACGTGAAGGGGAAATCGAGGAGGACCGCGCCACCCGCGTCAATAGGAACGTCAACCGTGCGCAGCACCGAGCAAACAAAGCTGCCCTTGCGCTAGCCAAGGCTACTCGCAATGATTAGCTCGACTCTCAAGTAAGGCCACGCCAACTCCAACGCAACCTCGATGATGAATTTGTCTATGTTGACCTCCATGACGTCTACAAGACTCCAAGCGCCAACTTGGCTGTGGCTGCCAATGAGCTCGCCTAGCTCCCGCAGACACCGGAGGTCGCCAAGGTCACCGCCATGCTTAAAGCGGTGCACTGCCAGGTCAACGAGATCCGCTAGGATCAGAGACCTTCCTACTCGACGAGCTCGATTTGCCAATCAACCGTGCCAAGATCTAATCGCCGCCCCAGCCAAAGTCGTTTCACCAACCAACATTGTGATGATGCACTGCCTCTCCAGGGGGGAGCTAGGGGCAACCACGTCGACCACCCTCGCCAGCATGACTAGGAAGTCGATCAGGATGTCCGAGCACACCTCAACAATCTTCGAGATGCGCGACGACGTATCGACGAGAGCTGTTTTTCTCACCATGAAGAAGAAGTACGCCATCATCAAGAGTACAAGCTAGAGTTTGGTAATCCAGACTCAGCCCTCCAGCCACTCAACGCCAGCGATGCCGCAGATCACGACGGAGGCAATCCCAAGGGGCCCAAAGCTTTCACAAGAGCACTCCGAACACTCCAGGGGGGCCGGGGTTTCAAAATCACCGGGGTCGAGCCCTATGAGGGATGGATGAACCCCACTAAGTGGCTACAAGCTTATGCCACTGCTGTGCGCGCCGCTGGGGGAGAGACCAGTGTCATGACAAACTATCTTCCCGTCATGCTCACGCCGACTGCGATGAATTGGTTCACAAGCCTCGCCCCGAACTCCATCGGATCTTGGGAAGAGCTGAAGAAGGTCTTCAGCAACAACTACATGGCTACATGTACTCGGGCAAGCACCAAGCATGATCTGAACCGCATTTACCAGAAGCCGTCCAAGCTCCTTCATAGCTACATCAGACGCTTTTCTGAGATGAGGAATTCTATTCCTAACATCATGGAAGTTGAGGTCATCACCGCCTTTGTCCGAGGACTCCATCACCACGACCTCCGCTCCAAGTTCAATCACAAGCCACCAACAGGGATTGGCGAGATGATTACGGTGGCCAATCAGTATGCCAACGCCGAAGAGGCTGAAGTATGCTTTAACGAGGATACGGGCACTCACTGCCCAACTTGCCATAGCGACGAGCGACCCAACGACCGACGCCACAACGACCACCGCTATGACGACCGCAGTCACCATCGGGACTGTGGCCATGATCGGCTAGAAGGGTCCAAATCTTGTCAATATCGCTGCCGCCTACCAGACCACATCGTCGCCACCGTCGAAGAACCTCGAGCCAAGCGCAACTATGACGAGCAGTACAAGAAGATCCTTGAGGGCCCATGCCCTCTCCACAAAAATGCCAAGCATAAGATGAAGGACTACCTCGGCTTGTCTAAGGAATTCTAGGCTAAAAAGCTAGATGACGACAACAACGATGGAGCCGGAGGCCGCCGACCACCTAGGGGCAACAACACCTTCCAGGATCATGACAAAGTGGTCGCCACCATCTTCGGGGGCCTCACCGCCACTAAGAACAGAAGAGATTGAAAGCTCACCGCCCGTCGGGTGCTCGTCGTCAACGCGGAAGATGCCGTCGCCAACCCCAGCTATCGCCCCTAGTCCAAGGTCTACATCACCTTCACCAGGGCCAATCAGTGGGCGGATATCCCTTACACAGGGTGTTTCCCCTTCGTCCTCGACGCAACCGTCCAGAAAGTGCTTTTTAGAAAAGTGGTCATCGACGGCGAGAGCGCTCTGAACCTCCTTTTCGCCGGAGCCCTAAAAGAACTAGGCCTTGGGATAGGAGACCTCACACCCTCCAACTCATCTTTTTGGGGTGTGGTACCTGGCAGGGCATCCAAACCGCTTGGAGAGATCACCCTCCCAGTATAGTTTGGCACGGCTAGCAACTACTGCGTCGAGCACATCAACTTCTACGTCGTCGACTTCAACACCGCCTACCACGCCATACTTGGTCGGACAGCTCTGGCCAAGTTCATGGCCATACCGCACTATGCCTTTCTGGTGGTGAAGATGCCTTCGCCTGTAGGAGTCCTAGCCCTATGGGCCAACCTCTCCATCGCCTATGCTTGCGAGACAGAAAGTCTCGCCCTCGCCGAAGCCACCGACCTCTCCATTCAGATGGCTAGCGTGGTCACCAACGCCAAGATGGTGCCCGCCGACGACCTAGAGATCCCATCGCTGGAGCCTCCTCATGCCTCCACCAAGTCTAAGGAAACCAAGGAGGTCGGCCTCGGCCCCGATGACCCCTCCAAGACCGTGAAGATTGGGGCTCACCTCGACCCCAAATAGGAAAGTGTGCTCGTCTCCTTCCTATGTGCAAACACCGACGTTTTTGCTTGCAAAC